ATCTCAGCATCCTTAGTAGCTATGAGTGAGCCTCCAGCCCCTAGCTGGAGTTCCTTTATTTAAGCAGACAGTTGGAGAGGTGTCTATCAACAAAGGAACTCAAAGACAGGGGAAAGTCAAGTGGGGCTTTTAAAAGGCAGAAACTGCAAAATTTACATATGTGTAGTTAGCACCAGGGAGATAAGGTACTGACTAGATAAGGCAAGGCTGGAGCTGAAAGGCCTGCAGCCTAAATCTCTTAATTAAACAAAAATGACCTGGGGCTCACTGTCCTAAGTTGTAAAGCAAGCTCGTCCCAGGTTAACCATTTGCTCTGGGGCAGTATGTTTACTCTTTCACTCCAGATTTTCCCTTATTGTGAAACACTGCAGGGCCTTCCCTGTAAAACTGGAGTGGGGGGGGGGGGGGGCTACATATTTCACCATCTTCAGAAGTATTTTTTCTGCGCTTCCGTATTCAGAAATATTAAATATCAAAATGTGTCTCTGAAATCACAACAAGAGGTCTGAAGGTTAGGGCTTCCAGGGCTGGCTGCTTCGGCCGTTGGGAGGCAGGCATCCGCCCAGGCCTGGGTCTCCCTTCCAGGCCTCTGGCACCTGCTTTGAAGGGCGGCTCACAGGCCAGATGGCTGGGGCAGTCCCACGTGGCCACATCTTCACAAGGTCACAGAGCTAGAAGACAGGCTGTTGTTTCTGAAAGCAAGGAGGAAACTTCCCCCGAACTTGGCCAGAATTGCCTGGCACACAAGATGGAAGACAGCTTCCCGGCCGGGGCTGCACAGACAGCTCCCTGCGCGCCCCGGCGCGGTCAGCTACCGGGCAGGATGCCCACACGCCTTGGGGTTCGTACGAAACGGACTTCCACACTACAAAGACTGCCTCCCACGAGGCCAGGGGTGAGGCCTTCCGTCCGTCCTCGCGGCGCGGGCTCCCTGCGGAGCCCGGTGCGGCCCCGGGGCCCCGGCCGGCCCGGGCCCGCAGCTCCCGGGCGCCCCCTGCCGCCCGCTCCCGGCCGTCCACGCGGAGGGAATCTCACTAGCCGGACGCGCCGCCCCGGTCTGCAGTTAAAAGTGGGATTGGGCCCGGCCTCAGTTTCCTTTTTGGTCTCTCCCCCTTCCCACCCCGCCCCGCGAACTTTCAGAGCCCCCCACCCCCAGTCCCGTGAGGGACTCGACCTCCAGCCTCCGTTTCTGGACCGCCGCGGTTCTCCACACCTTCCAAGCTGCCCACCCCCGGTCGCACTGCCGCTCCCGGTGGCCGCCACTATCTTACCCGGGCTCCGCGGTCACGGGAGGAGGGGGTGGCGGCCGCCGCTCAGCGACGGTTGTGTTGGACTACATTTCCCATCAGCCCTTTCTCCTCCCCATCGCGAGAGCTCCGCCGAGACCGCCCGGGAAGACACCGCGCAGGCGCGCTCTCGCGCTCTTTCCGAGGTCCGCCGCGTGCTGAGAGTCATGGCGGCTCCTGTCTGCGCGGCACCCGCCCGGCAGCCTCAGGCCCGGGGTGGTGGTAAGGTTGTGGGGCTTCTTCGACCCGGCGCTGGCTCTCTCGCCCCCGCCCTTCCTCAGAGGGGGAATGGCTGTGTTCCCTGCTCCGTCCCGGCGTGGTTGGCGCGTCAGGCCGGGTGTGAGGAAAGGGCTTTCCGGGCGGCGGGACGCCGGAGCTCGCGGCCCAGGCCCGCTCTGGGCGTTGTGGGGACCCCCCCCCCCGGGGGAGAGGTGCTGGCGGCCCGCGCCCCACCCCACCCACGTGCTCGGCGTGGACGCCCCCGCGGGGGGCGGATGGGGGGGGATGGAAGTCGGGGTGGTCGGCCCCCCCCAACTCGCCATCAGCTCGTGAGTCGGAGCCGGTCGCGTTCACGGGTGCGCCTCGGCTCCCCCCCCCCCCCCCCCCCCGCCAGTCGTTGGTGTGTTTAACCACTACAAGGAGTAGAGCGGGGTTGTGGTCTGGAAGTCTGTAGGTTTGACACCATCCTCTTTCCCTCCGCTGCCTTGAAGGTCTTCTTTTGGCATCTGTTGAGAAGATGGGAAGCAGAGCCCCAGGTTCCACCTTAAAAGTGATGAATGGACTCAGAAGAACCGGAAGCGGGTGGAAGCAAGACTTCCTGTGGTCACCTGCAGTGGGAAAGCAGATAACGTCTTGCATGGTCTAGCTCATGCTAAAGTATGTTCAACTGCATGCACGCGTGCATGTTGACACCTTTGGGTACTATTAGGGGAAGAAAATCAGCCAGAATGCTCAGTCTCAGGTTCTTAAGTCTGAGCTGCTAAGACTGGGGAAGGTGTCCACCCGTGTAATTCGGGGCCGCTAGATGTCACTGTTTAAAATCAAAATGAACGACACTGTGCAGACATTGGATGAGGGAAAACTTGGAAGAAAAGTCTGAGTTGGGTGGCATTTAGGGGCTGCAACTGGTTAAGCCAAGGATAATTTAAAGTTATCCTCTTCTCAAGACTTTTTGTGTGAGGAGTTCTGAGTTACTGAGGCTCAGCCTCAGCGGTTTTTTTTTTTTTTTTGTTTTGTTTTTTTTGGGGGGGGGGGTTGTCTGTGGTGGGGCTTGAACTCTGGGCCCGTGCGCTGTCCCTCAGCTCTTCAGCTCAAGGCTAGTGCTCTACCACTTGAGCCACAGTCCCCCTCTGGGCTTTTTCTGCTTATATGGTTCTGAGGAATCAAACCCAGGGCCTCATGCATATGTAAGGCAAGCACTCTACCACTGAGCTAACTTCCCAGCCGGAGGCTTCTTTTTCTAACATGTATTTTGAGAATAAATGCCTTAAGACTGTTAGAATGAATTTTTTTTTCTCCAGAAGGTGTTGGCTGTGGATTTAAAGTCACATGAACATCCATCATCTTGAGAATCCATCATCAGCATGAGAATCTTTGATGACATTTCAGTGTGTGGTAAGATTTTTTTTAATGTATTTTTTAGTTCTTTCATAGAGTTGCATAGCTTATGGTCCCCATTAGCTAGCTATTGGTCTGTTAGATTTGGGGATGTGCTGAATTTTTATGATCCTCATGGTAGGAAAGTAGTGTGATAAGGAAAAGGATGGATTTGAAAAGGGGAGGAGAATGAAAGCAGGGCGAGACATCAACCTCAACAGACCAGATCAATTTTAATGGAAGTTAAAAGGGATGCCAACGAGGAGGGTCCGGAGACACAAGTGGAATGTCGCTGGAGGGTTGCTAGAGTTTCAGAAGTGCCTTGAGAGTTCCTGGTAATGGCCTAAAATGGCCTCTTTCCTGGAACCTGTTTTGTGGACTGCCAGTGGAAGCTCTCAGGTGCAGTCACCTGAGGTGGGTAGGCTTTCATATGTAGATTCAGATTCCTCAGGAGAGTTTCTGGAAGGTGGAGCAACTTTGCCTTAGGAAAAGGGCAAATTCCAGCAGTGGAATTCCTTCAGCTTGGTGCCTGCCTAGTATTCTTAGAGACAGCATTGAACTCAAGGCCACACTTCTACCTTTTGCTGGTTAATTAGGAATAAAAGGGTTTGTCTAACTGAGAGATAAGTTGTTTTAGAAAAAGAACAAATGTCAAAAGAGTTGAGGTTGAGAAACCTATGGGAACTGCATATTATACTAACCAGAGACCCAGCTCTGGTCTCAACCTACTGTCTGATAAGGGCACCAGCTGCTGGCTGTGGCCAGCCTGAGAACAGGTGCATAGGAATAATTTGATGATTTGATCTGTTTTTAGCTCAAGGATTTTATTACAGCAAGATTATAATGTTGGCTGGCTATTTTTAAGTAGCTCTTGGGGCAAATCTTTAATCCCCTGTCTTAAAAAAACCATACTCGATTTGCTTGGTCTGCAGGGTGGTTCTGTGCATGCAGACGGGCGGTGACCTTGTATAACATTGTTACGTGCTGGCAGCAGGTACTGGTTGGTCTGGCCTTCAGTAGGCCAGCTGCAATGACCAGTAACCTGCACAGCCTTATGCACTTCACTCAAATGCTACAGAGATTTAAATCCATACCTGTACACAGCTCAGACACTGCTAAGTATTGGGATAGGGGTTTTGGTTTTTTGAGTCAGGGTCTCATCGTAACCCAGGCTAGCCTTGACTTTGCAAGCTGGCCTCTGCTCGGTCGCTGGAGTTGAGGTGACCCTGTGACAGGAACTCCCATGTGCCAGGTCTGGACCTGATGCATCTAGGTAGCACAGTTCTTACCATAGAGGGAAAGCCTACACTCAAAAATAAGGTTGATAGGGTTGGGTTTTTTTTGTTTGTTTTTGTTTGGTAATGGGGCTTGAACTCAGCCTGGGCACTGTCCTGGAGCTGAAGAGCTAACACTCTACCACTTGAGCCACAGCGACACTTCTAGTTTTCTTGTGGTTAATGGGAGATAAGTGTCTCACGGGATGTTCCTGCCCAGGCTGGCTTTGAACTGCCATCCTCAGATCTCAGCCTCCTGAGTAGCTAGGATTACAGGTGAGCCACTGGTGCCCGGCAACAGAGTTTTTATGAAGGGAATAAAGCACAGATTGATAGAAAATAATGTTGTATGCTGGCAGATTGCCAGGAGCCAAGTATGTGATGATGTAAAGTTATCCCTGTCTGAAGGCAAAGAAAGGCCTTCTGTGTGGAATATGGATATCTGAGACTTGGCTCCCTGGCTTTGCCTCCTGCAAAATCTAGGCCTGATTTTAAAGAAAGCTAGGTACTTACTGGTCATCTCGTAGCCGTCTCCTGAGCAAGTTTTTCTTTGTCACATCTTCACCCTCTCCAGGTGCAGTTTCAGTCTGAGTTTCTGGGACTGAAAAGGGATCTGTGGCAGCCACCTGGACCCACGGTGGAGTACCCCATGCACGGAAGGAGAGTCCCTGAACAGGCTGCCCTGGGGTCCATGGCTGTGCTGAGTGGAGGGAGCACTTTATCAGAGTTCTTTCTTTTCTTGGCCAGCTTCCTGCCCTTAACTGCTTTGCCCGAGGCAAGTGAAACACTACCTCTCCTATTTGGAAGTTTTATATTTCCATCTTTTGTGTCTCTGAGAAGCCCCACCAGCCTGTGATGCTCAAGTTATCCCTGTCTGAAAATCTCAGCTGAGGGAAAATAATCTATTCTGAGGCTTGAGGGGTGTGGGTGGCTTCATGCTCCAGAAGGGATGGGGGCTTTAAGTGGGCTCCACAGGGCGGATGGGTGCCCTGCAGCAGAGAACCCTGTGTGGTGTGTTATCCCTCTAAAACTCAACACCAAAGATCTGGTTGCGCCTCTCTCCTGGTTGGTGCTTTGGGACACAGGCTGAGTTGGCAGGAGCAGGCTAGTCGCAGGACTCCTTGTATGCTTGTACTGAGAGAGTGCGTTTCACTTATTTCAGGAAATGAATGTACTCTTTGACAGGAATGTAGGAAGTGTGCCAGCTTGTGGAGTGGGAATGTTCAGTGACTGGCCTTGCCCTGTGCGGCGTCTTGACGCTTGCAGGAGGTCCGTGTGGGGCTCTGGCAGAGCTGTCTGGTTTTAGGTGCTTTGTTAACAGCACCAGCGCCCTCTGAGTGTAGCTGGTTCCTGTCTGATTGGCATGCCTGGTGTGAGGCTGCTCCACTGGCAGCCGGCTGGCATGTGAGCAAAGTAGCATGGGAGGGTGCAGTGGGGTTTGTCTTTTTTTCCCTCATTTAAATGTCAGCCTTGAAGTGAACAGAGATAGCTGGGCCTTTTCAGTGGAAATGGATACGGATTGTATATTTTTTTGGTTTGGTCACCAAGGAAGTTGCATTTGGGGTGAGGTTTATTGGTCTGGGAAGCTCCCTAGCAGCCTAGGGTTTGCAAGTCAAGCCAAGTGAGAAGGTGGGTTAACAGTGGAGCAGCTCTTTGTACTTGTCTGGGTGGATCGACGGCCCCACAGAACGCACCCTCAGGGAGGGAACTAGACCTATTTCTGCTCCTGTCGTGGGAGGGCTTTTCTGGCCACTTACCAGAAACTTATCCCTTCGGCACCATCTGCTTAATGAAGTCATCTTGGAAGCTCAGCAGCCTGCACTGAGACATGATCAGGAACAGTTCTCCCCCAACAATACGTGCCCAGTGAATAGTGGGAAGAGTGAGTCCTGAATAATTTATCCTTTAGTTTTGAGCCATTTAGTTTGTTATTTTAAATTTCTCCTTTGCCTTTCCAGGGCAATCTCCCTGCTTCTGCTGATGTTTAAAACAACAACAGTTCTTTCCAAGAGAGTCATTTAAGAGTTGGAGAGGGGTAACATCAATCAAGTATTGTACAAGCCTTGTTTCATCTAAGTGACCAGAGAATTGACTGATTCAAGAAAACCTTGGGCAGTTGGTGAATTGGGGGTAACTGAGATCATTCAGAAGTGCAGTTTTGGTGCGTGGATATCATCTGCATGTGTAGCTTCAAAGGGGTGTGACCATGGTGACCTAGAACCACCTCTGCATTTCCTGAGTAGTCCACCTGTGTCTTGGGTTTACACGTGGAAGTACAAATAAAAAATATTTAAAAAAAAATATTTGGCATTGTGGATTTGAGATTGAGACGCATTATTCTGTGACTTGGAAAACACATAGGAGTTTACCATAATACTTAGTCCCAGTTAGAGAACTTGGTGTCTTTTTTTTTGGTCGGCCGTGGGGCTTGAACTCTGGGCCTGGGCGCTATCCCTCAGCTCTTCAGCTCAAGGCGAGCACTCTACCACTTGAGCTACAGCGCCACTTCCGGTTTTCTGGTGGTTTATTGGAGATAGGAGTCTCAGGGTCTCTCCTGCCCGGGCTGGCTTTGAACTGCGATCCTCAGATCTCAGCCTCCTGAGTAGCTAGGATTACAGGCGTGAGCCACCAGCGCCCGGCGTCTTCTACTTTTTTTAAAACCTGAGATTTCACGCCCTACTGATGGGGTACCAACCCACAGACATTAAACTTGCAATGTAATGAACACTGTCCAGTGGGAAAGGCAATGATTGGGTGAGGGCGGGGTGGGCTTCCTCACTCCAGCGCTCATTATGGAAGGGACTAGAAGAGACTGGATACCTTGTGTATTTTCTTTTTTTTTTTTTTTTGTCGGTCGTGGGGCTTGAACTCTGGGCCTGGGCACTGTCCCTCAGCTCTTCAGCTCAAGGCGAGCGCTCTACCACTTGAGTACAGCGCCACTTCCGATTTTCTGGTGGTTTATTGGAGATAGGAGTCTCACGGTCTCTCCTGCCAGGGCTGGCTTTAAACCGCGATCCTCAGATCTCAGCCTCCTGAGTAGCTAGGATTACAGGCGTGAGCCACCAGCACCCGGCTACCTTGTGTATTTTCACAATTGACTACATTCAAGTGTTCTGGCAGAGGGGCTGTGTGATGAGCCCACCAGCCGAGGCTTTACCTGACCCCTGCTTTACCTACCCCTCCAGGGCAGCAGGATGCTGTTTTCCCCCAAATAGCTGCTTTAGTAATCAAAGCCCAAGTGTCATGTTGCTCAGCCATGTCTGGGTTTCTGAAGTGCTGCTGTGTCTGGTGACTGAGTCCCTCCTCATCCTCCCAAACCAGTGCCAGAATCAGAAGCCAGTTCCTTGGCCTTGGTGGATTGCTGCCTTGAGAAGCTGGCCAGCAGTTCCTGGGGAGGCCCTCAGGGTCTAAGATTTAAAGTCACCTAAGAGGCCATAAAATTAGGAAACTGCCTGTTAGCTATAGAAGTTCCCATCTACTGAAGCCATGCTGGGGTCAATACCCAGTAACAACCTATTAATAAGTCATCTCTGATGGGACTTCTATGGCATGCAGGTGTCAGAGCCGCTGACCTAGCACCGGTGCCTCCCATTGTTCCTGATTTGGCTTTTCTTTTGGCGCGCAGGGGGCTGGGGGTAGGGGCAGTGGTGGTGGCAGGATGCTGGAGATAAAAGCACCATGCATGGTAAGATTCCTGTCTCCCTGGGCTGTGTCATCCTGCTATCCCCTGTTCTAAGTCCCTTGTTAGAATTTGATCATAAAACTCCATGTTTGACACCCTGTGCTTTCTAAGCTTTACTCTATGTTAACCAACACAAAAGAAGACAATGGTCATTGGTCGTTTATGCAATTCTCTACTCTCAAATCAAATTCTGCCTCTCGCTCTCTCATGGGCAGAAGCATGTTTCTCCAATGGATCTTCCGTTCTTTATAGGTGTCCTCAGCAATTGAGCTACTTTGGCGTTTGGGGGGGGCTTGATGGGCCAGTGGGAGGGTTTGCTGGAGAGTGAGCAAGCAATTTGCCCGCGCTGCTGCTTGATCTTGGTTACCAACAGAACCCTGCCTGGTGTCACTTGCGTTGTGAAATTCAGTACCAACAATTGGCTTTGAGCTGCTCATCTGGGGTTTTGTCTGCGCCTTGTCAAGGTCACTGTCACAACTTGGGAGTGGTAATTTCCGTTTGGGAAAGAGTCCAGAGCAGTCCGCTTGCTCTTCCCTTGGACAAAGTGGGGATGACTGTCTAAGACTCGGAGAAGAGTTTTCTCTCAGGAGCCTACGACAAGGTGGGTGGTGCCCCAGCCTCGAACAGGCTTTGACGGCACTTGGGAGTCTGTCTTCTGTTGTGAAGGAGGAGGTGGTCAAGGGGGACAAAGCCCCTTTCAGAGGTGGAGGAGTCAAAATGGCTTTTGGCCACTTGGGACCAGAGTTACAGCTGTGTGAGAAGCCAAACACTTGGTGTTTGGGGATCAGCGTTGGTACAGCCAAAGGATGCCGGCCTCGTGCAGGTCCCGCCACAGGGCAGCCTCCAAGGGCAGATCGTGGTTCCCATAAAATATCAATGGCTTCTTTTCTCGTTCGAAATAGTGGTCAGAATAGTTCTGGTAGTTGCTTGTGATGAATCCGTAGGCACTGACCTGGACACCAAGACAGTGGTTAGTGTGTAGACAGGCGTGACATGAATTCAGAAGGATACATGGCCAGCGCAAAGAAACTCACAAGCTCGCCCTGGCATTGCTCTCTACATGGTCCCTCAGCTGGCTGTATGACCTCATAGGAACTTTGACCTCATAGGCCCTTTACTCTCACTGAACAGATGCCATAAAGAGGGGAAGAAAGTAAATGCATCCTGAGTTTAGACCTTGAGTATGACTTCAAGGACGGAAGCCAACAGCCCATTACAGCCTGACTCCAGCTCCAACAGTGACAGCTCCAAGTCTTGCATTAGAATCCAGGAAAGCTATACAGCCTGAATGGCATTTGGGCCCACTCTCAAGCAGGCTTTTACAGAGGCTCAGCCTCTGAAAACTACTGTTCAACCTCTTCCTACCTCTACACACCAGAGGATCACATCCTATCCCATAATAGTAAAGCTTTGTAAACCTCGGCTATATAAAGGCTGTCCTTACCCGGTTCTGTTGAGATTTTGCTTTTAGAAGAGCAGTCTGAAAATGGGCTCCTTAAACAGACCATATAGAGGAAAGGCAGAGAAAGCACTGGGACAGGGGTCCTGGCCCCGGCCCATTCTTTAGAGGCCTCTGATGGCCAGTGGGCACGTGAGTGGACAAGGCACCCTGCTGGGGGGAATCCTCTGCCACCTATGTGGGTGGCAGGCCTCAGGGAAGGAAAACGGGGTCAGAGTTCCTTGTTCCAAAAGGAACAGAGTTCCCTGTTCCTTTTAGCTCCTGAAAGAGAACACCGCCACCTACCTGGTCACAGGTATGTAAAGCGGTCAGTAGCACAAGGGCTCCAGTACTAGGCATATATATGTTTCCAAAATTTGTGTTAATCAACTTTGATTTCAAAAACCTGGAGGCAAAAAACAAACAAACATGAAACCTAAGATACTCAGAGGTCAAATACTAGTTAGCTTGGTAGGTCTAAGTTTACAGTGAGTAGCTACCCATTCGAATACATTTGAAAATCATTCGCAAACTTCTGGTCCTTCGATCCCAAGCCATCCCCTGATTCTGGGGAAACGCCAAGTGAACTTAAGTGTGAGGATATTTGGTTGAAATTAACTGTGTGAGGAAGGAACTCAGTGAGGCCCTCCCTGCTTTCTCCTGCCCTACAACACCTTTGCTGCACACCGTTCACAGTGACCTGGAGAGAAACCTAAGTTTCACCCCACATCTTGACCCAAGCAGGAATCTTGAATGAGCTGCTCAGGTCCTGGGTCTGGGCTCTCTGGTACGATGATG